GAATATAATAGATCTCACGAAATATATGGATAATAAAAAATAATTTTTAAATGAATAGTTAAAATTTTTAATTGAATACCATTTATAAATTTATATCCAATCGAAGGCTAAGAAAATGAATATAAATTTATCAAATTTGCAATTTAGGTCCTCAAGATTCAAGCTTCAACTATTTTGATCCATTAAGTTCCAATTAAAATGAAAAAGGTCTTTCAGTAACCATTACTGAAACTGGATGACACTTCAGTGACCATTAGTGCAATTTTTAAACTTCAGTGACTGTTTATGAAATTAACCCATTTTATGCCCTATTTGATAATGCACTTTTTCCATAGAATATAGAAAATAATTTCCATTTCCAACAAAAAGTCTTGTTTAATAGGCACAAAATTTTTGGAAATTGATTTTCCACTCAAGGGCTTCACGAGGCCCATTTCCCACATTTTGAGGAATTTGACTTCCCACTCAAATGGTGGGAAATCTGATTCCAAGATTTATTATTATTATTATTATTATTTTTTTTTTTTGCAATTGAATTTTTAATAGAATTTAAGATTTGAATGAATTTCAATTTTGCAAATTTTCATAAATTTTAAAGATTCTCACGGATTTGTTGACTTTTTATTAAAATTGTATTTTTTACCTCGATAACTCAAATAAATTATCAATCTTACTTTGCAGTAAATTTTAAAACTTCACCATACTATTTCAAAGTCTATTTGTCTTTACGAACCAAATTATGTCGGTACAAGCAATTTTTTATTGCATATTATGTTGCAGTTTGCAAGTTTTAATTATTAATCTAAGTCCATTTGTGTGCACTAGATCTTTATTGCTTTTAAAATGTCATTTCTATCAACCCCATCTCCCGTGCAAGCACGTTTATTTGAAATTGATAAGAAATTGGATGCTAACCATTCAAGTTGTTTGATACAAAAACCAAAAAATCAAATTATTGTTTATTAAAAGAAATTCATAAATTTGTCATTTAAAAGAGAGAAATAAAAAAAAAAAAAAATCATGAACTTGTCTACTACTCTTCATTCAAATCGTTCACGACATTTGTCCACATATTTGAGGATATGTTAGTTTCCATTTGTTGCTCTTTGAGTTTCAAATACGTCTTCAATTATTGATGATGATGTAGATGAACAGCATGAATGAAGTTGCCTCCATTTTGGATGGAACTATCAAAGAATAAATTGGGATGTGTCAATATATTGGGATTCACATTTGCTAAGAGCATCTTATCTTGGATGCATTCAATAACTTGCTATCTAACTTGTAAATTGAAAGATTTTTAATTGAATAACACTACACATACATGGAAACTTTCACATAATTTTTACAGGCTTCCACTTGAAGCAGTTTCATTGGCAAAAAATAGAAAAGAAAAGAAAAATCTGCAAATGGCAGCACCTGTAAAGCTTCTGTTCATATTTAAGCAATCTAGTAAAACTCTAGTCTTTATCTCCACACGTTCTATCTACAACTCAATATTGTTGTATAGGCATCTTCTTTTTTCTTTAAAATAGAAACAAAATCCTATCTAAATTTGTTTGGGCTCCATTAAAATCAAAATTTAAGGGAATATTTATTTTGGAATAGTGATTTTTTAAAAAATATATGGTTTAAAAAAAAAAGAAAATTTTTAAATTTACGTGTAATATTATTTACGGTATTCTATCATTTAATACCATCTGCATGAAAATCTTCACCAGTTTTTACACTTGTCGAAAATATTAATAAGGCCCTCACTTACACTTCTACTTCATTCTAAAAACTCCATAAGCTGACAAGAAAAGAAGTAAAAAGTGAAGGAAAAAAAAAACTTTCTTTAATGATCAAACACATGTCGTAACTTTCAACTTGGGAAACCCTCTATTTTTGGTTTATTTGATATCTATGCTGAGTACAAAAAAATTTAAAAAGTTGATGCACAAATAAAATTTATACAGAATAAAATCATAAATGAAGTCATAGTATAACATT